GGGTGCCGGTGCGCACCCCGGGGTTGGGGGGCTTTCCCCCGGTGGGGGGGCGGCACTGCCCTGCCGACCGCAGAGCCCTGCGGCCGTGGTCTCCACCACCCGACGGTCGCAGCTTGCTTGCGAGTGGTAGGCATACGGGACCACCATTGTGGGAAAACATACTTTGTCTTTTATGAGCGGCCAGAGTCGTCCTTCTCCCACCAATCATCTGTCCCCCTGTCTCTCAGCTGGGGAACGCTTTATCTCATTTTCATCGACAGTAATGGAAACAAAGAAGACTCCCTGTTTCTTCAGCTCTTTTTGTCTTGGTGTGTGCTTTTTTTTTTTTCCTTCCTCCCCCTTATGGCTCTGAGCTGTAAAGAAGAAACACCCACGTATGTTCTTCCTCACAAGGATCCGAAGACGTTACATCTTCAGCTCAATTTCATGACCTGGGATGGATGTTTATGTACAAATCATCACGATATGGATTTTATTTGAAGACAAAACAAAATGCGGGATCTTGAGCACCAAGAGCCTAAAAAAAAATTTCATCTCAAAGCATTTGCAGCAGGGGTGTGTGTGGGATAATGAAGTGCTGTAACCCTTAAACCTCAGTGGCAAGACTGCGCTTGGTGGACGCTCTGCTTGACTCCTTGTTCCTTCTCACTCTAGGAAGTTGCTGTAAAGTTGGAGTCTCAGAAGGCTAGACATCCCCAGCTGCTGTATGAAAGCAAACTGTACAAGATTCTGCAGGGAGGAGTTGGCATCCCACATATACGGTAGGAATCATTCATGTGTGCCAGTACAGTGACTTTTGTTTAGTGTTAGTGTGAGCCAGGACACCACTATTAAAAAGAGATTTTTCTGGAAGGGATTGGGCTCTCGGGGGAAAAATACTCTGTTCCAAGCTCTACAACTAGTTGGGTATCCTTCTCACTGGTCCACTGTCTCTCTTCCGTACGTACTGTGCTTTGAAAGTGAGATCTTCAGCAGTTCCTGAGCTCTGAGAAATTCTTGTTGTGATTAGAACAAAGTGTGAGACTGTTTCGGTGAGAACCAATGTTCTTGATGAGGTTGAGAGTTTGGAGCTGGTACTGGAAATGGCTGCTTTCTTTTGTTGCCTTTTTTTTTTTTTGTTCCAACATGTCTTCCTCCTCCGCTCAGAAAATGGCGGATGGACGTGATTAACCCTCCCCCTTCTCGTGTTGGGACAAGGGACGTGCTCAGGCATGTATCTTTTCCTTTCATAGTTATGTGCTGTAAGGCTTGAGACTGCAGAGAACCTCAACCAGGAATGAAATGGCAGCCCCTTTCTGTTGCTCGCAACAGATGCGTCACTACGATTTCCGTACAGTTAAAATGCCAAGATTAATCCCTCCCAGTTGCTTGTCATGCAGCTTCCTTGTTTCATATTCTGTCTGAAACTTCCAATAGTGTTTAATATTTCCTGATCTGGAAGAAAATCACTGGTGCAGCAGACTCTAGGAGAAGTTATTTCTCTTGAGACTGTTGAGATGTTATACTGGGTTAGTTCCCAGCTACTGAATCTATGCCTCAGAACAGATCAAATGAAACTTCAGTTTTCTCCAGAAAGACTTTGTGCAAGAAGTTGTTCTTTTTTTGAACTTTGTTGATAATTGTTTTTAAAGCTAGTATTTCTTATGTTAGCACTATGGTGTAAAGGATTTTTGTTCCTTGAGCTGGAGAAACTGTTTGAATTCAGATATCGGGTCAAACTGTGGATTCTGTTAAGTCTGTTAACCCTTCCCTAACTTTGTTGTATGCACCTGTATCAATAGTGGCTTTTGGGGTCTATTGTAAGGTCATAATGATGACATATTCTAGGTCATGTATGAATTTTAATGAGACCTAAAACCAGTCTGCGTTTCTGAGCTTAATACAACCCACCACTGGTTGTAGTCCTGAACGTAAGCTGGAGCTGTATAGCATAGTGGAGGAGACAGTGTTGTATTGGCCCTCTGTCCTCATTCACTACAGACTTTTGCAGGAACAGAATAAACATACCTGAATTAGGCAGAATACTTGCAGCTTAAACAGAGTTGTTTAAAAGACTTAATCTGTTTTCACATATGGACTCATTGAGCTAAAGGTGTATGTGATATATTTGATAATGTCAGTGAGTCTTAAAGTTTTTCACTTTCAGGTTCTCACAGTCTCTGTAGTATTCTGGAAAAGTTTCAGAAAATTTTTTAAATACCTTTTTTGTTTTCGGAAGCAGCATTAATTATAAATCTGGTTGTATGTACTAGATGCTGCTTGACAGGTTCTTTGACTAGGCTTCTGTTACTAGTTGTCGTTTTGCTGTATGACATCTGGTGATGCTTCAAGAAATCTAAAACAGTATTTTTGTGGTGTTTTTTAATCATCTTTAAGGGGATTATGAGCAGGGTACCCAGCACAGTTCTTGCAAGAAATGTTAAAATGTGATGTGTTTAGTACAAGTGGAATCTATGGTACTCTGAATCTAAGGGGGAGCACTTGACCTACCAGATGAGATATGTCTTTCAGGTGCTTAACAAGGATATGTCTTTGAATAGGTGATTACAGAGACTAGGACCAAAGTGAAATTAGTGTGCATATTGTTTCAGACAATTCAGGCTTTTCTGACATGCATTTTTGGCAGCACCTAAGCTAGGAGAATGTATGACTTTGTACTTAGGTCACTTTGCATGTGTAATTGATAATACATGTTCCGCCATTGTTTTATAATGGTATGCTGTCTAGTTGGAATAAGCTGTTCTTGGCTCAGTACATTTATAAGAATGAATCAAGCTGAAGGAAAATCTTTCAACACATTTGTTAAAATTCCTGTAATGCGACACCTTTGAACAACAACAGCATAAACAGAGCATTTGATAGAAAACTAAGGAATCATAGCAAAGTTTTCCCATTGCCATGCTGTATAAGCTGGGCTCGGCAGCGTTTTTATCTCAGTGCTGCACCTCTAGGAAACAGAGGCATGTAATCTTGTGTTCCTCATTTAAAAGGGACTTGTTCTCCACTTTTCATCTACTTAAGTAATGCAGTGGCCAAGATCAACTTGCTAGAAGTTGCATTATGTGGTTTTGCCTTACTGGAGTGGCCTGCTGTGGTTGTTTGATTGACGAAGCTGAAATAATAGGTGAGGTGTGGATTGCTCATTCATTTTGGGTACCTGTTCTTGAAACAGATTTCTGCCCTTTATATGTGATTGCAAACTTACTAATGATAAGATGGTGTATCTGGAGTGTCACTTGTCTAGAACCAAGCAATTTTTTTTTATGTAGCTTTTGAGGTTGATTTGATGGCCTTTCTGCCTGATTGCAAGAAGGCTAATGAGCAAAATCTCACTTTTGGAGTGAAGTTTTTTAATGCTGCTTGTATGGGATCTGTTGTGAGCCTTCACTTTTCATGGAGGGTGAACAAGAGGCCTTGGTACTCTCACTGTAACAGGACACATCTGCATGTAAAATACTAAAAATCGAGATTGGAGTGTCTTTATTCTCTCAATATTCTAAATCCTTTTAGACTTGCAAATCTTTGACTTTGCTATAAAAGCATCTACAGTTTGTGTTGTTCTGGTTGATTACTGCCATGTTGTTGGTTAATCTATCAATAACAGACTTTGCCCGTATTCATCTTTACTACATAATACATGTAATGGAAAAATGTGGTCAAATTTTGTAGTTTTAGGCTTGTTCTCCCAACAGATTTTTCCTTGAGCACTCAAATTTTGATCTCTTTAGGCAGTGCTTAAAAATCTGTAAATACACCTCTCAAACACCTTCATTTTAAATGTTTTCCCAATAACTTTCTGCAGTCTTAGAAAACAAAACAAAACAGAAAAAAACCAAAAAACCCAAACACTGCCAGAAAAATAATACTGACCAAACCCACAGACTCGTAGTTGGATGAAGTCTGAAAAGTTTTCTATCTTCTTTTCATTGGTAAGACTGATAGTTTCATCTAGGTCTATGAGTAATGAGGAGGAAGTTTCAAGCAATAGAACCTCCTCTTAATTGATCCTCTATTACTACTTGAGGCTGCATGCTGGAGGGCAGAACCACTCTAGTAGATGAGAGGAAACCTCTTGTTCTGGTAGCTCAAATTAAAATTGAAAGCTAGTCTTTTAAATTAATACCTAAAATTTTTCTACTGAGAGAATGAACGTCTTTAAACAAAAATCTATTTCATGTTTTATACCAGTGCAAACTTCTGTCTTAATTGGTCTTTCTGGACTCCTTAGAAGCATACAAGAGAGACCACACTTTGAAAACAAAGCAAGCTGTCCCTGTTTTGTGTGGATTGTTGTTTTTTTTTTTTCCTTCCTTGCCTTAGGTCAGCCTTTGCAGAAACAGATGCAAAAGTATGCAGTTTCAGATCAGTGTTACTCTTGCTTGGAACAGGTGGGTCAGCAGAGGTACTACTGAAACACTCTCTCGGCAGCGTTTCCTGTACCTACTGCAGATTAATGGCTTACCCTTGCAACTGAACTGAACCTTCTGACTTGTGTGGAAGAAACTTGACGTATGTTCTCCTCACTTCCTTCGAGGTGTTAATGTACCTCATTAAACAGCTAGCAAAACAGCAAATCAGCTACGTGGAAGTATGTATGTAACATAACACTAGGCAGATGAAATGAACCTGTTGCTTAGGAGATGAGTTGCGCTGGCATACTTCACACTTCACGTATTCATATTTCTCTCATTACTATAAAAAAAAGATACAGAATCTTATTTATAGAGTCTATCTAACTTCATAGCGTAGGGTGTTCATTGCTGTTTCTTTATTTAGTACTTGGGTGGCCTAATTCATACTCACCATGGCAACTAATGTTAGATGACATCTGCTAAATATTCCATTTCAGTATTTCAGTCATGCCATATTATGTTAAGTTCATTTATATTAACCTAGCTGACTAACAGTTAAGAAGTGCTTTTCCAGCTTTTGGGGAGATAAACTAGAAATATGTGTGTCATTTTAGACATGAATCTTGCAATGATAGACTACCTTTCTTATATGTGTTGCTTCAGTATCTGTTAAGCCTCAAATTAGTATATTTTTGCCGGCAGAATATACTTCCCAATTTGTCTGAAACACCATTATTTGTCAGGAGGTGTCTGTCCTGAGAAGTCTAGAACATGGAAGCAGAAGGGACCACTTTGGTCTAAATCTGACACCTGTTCTGGACAGCATGCTATTCTTTCTGTGAATCAATCAGGTGCTATGTTAAAACTTTCTAGGCTAGCACAGCAGTGCTTATGATTCTGTTTTCAGACAGAGCGAGCTTCTGTGCCTAAAGATAAATGATAGGCAAGCTCCTATTTATTTCTTCCCTGATTTTATTTTTTTTGTTACAACCTCCCTATTACAGTCGTCCTGTGTCCATAAAGAATAGTTGCATAAGTCTGTTGCTGCCTAGCTGAGCTGTTTGAATACGTGATTACAGAGGTCATCGCCTTCCCATCTTTCTTGAGGGCTCTTTTCGGTGCCGGTTCTGATTTGGGTTTCCTTTCCTTGAATGTTGGTGACAGGCTTGCATGTTAGTGCCATAAGCATTGATACTGATTGCTTCACAGTTTCTGTGTAGAATACCCGTACTTTTACTGGTTAGGTTTACTTATTACTTTTCAGTGATGCCTGATACTAGAGCTATATGATTATAGGGAGGTCTGTTTTCTCTTTAGTCACATCATCTGACTAATGCCCAGTTCAGAGACTTTTGTATAAATGACTTAGTGCTTGCAGAAATGGAACACAGTTCCAGAGTGTTCCTCAG